CTTCTTAATTTGTCTCTGGAAAAAATTTTCAAAAGGTAAAATGTCAGTACCACTAGAGGGCATAGAATTCTAACAGAATTTTCCACTACACTAGCTCAAAGGACATCTTTTCCTTCTGTATCGACCTCTTCACACAGTTTCTAAATATATGGATCTTAAAAATATCAAATGACTGTATCCAAACTATGTCCAGAAAGAAGTGTTACAGTAGCCGGCTGAAACTGAGCGGGCTGTCATACTAACGTGTCAGACAGGATGAAGTCAGGTATAGCCAAATATAATCAACGGGGTTTTATGCATAAAACTGAAGGAAGTTTTAGGGAAAAGATCAACATGTAATTTCAGCCCTGACTCATGTGGATCAGTTGGTTGGCTTAATTGCTCCAAGCAAAAGGTCACCAGTTCAATTCCAGGTCATGGCACATGCCTGGGTTGCAGGCCAGTCCCAGCAGGGAGCGTGCGAGAGGCAACTAGTAGATGTTTCTCTCTCACATGGATGTTTCTCTCCCTCTCTTTCTCTCCCTCCCTTCCCTTCTCTCTAAAAATAAATAAATAAAATCTTTAAAATTTTTTAATGTAATTTCAGTAAATTGATACAAGATTTGTGACTGTTTACAATTTTCAATACAAAAAAGTACCTGTGCAGGGAAGCCCTTACCTCTGCAGGAACAGTGAGGCTATTTCTGTATTTAGAATGAAGCCCCAAAGCCTGCTTTAAGATAACAAGTAGAAACTTTCTAATACTTCTGTTTTGGAACGAGAAACTGTCAAGATTACTAACACACAATAATAGGTAAGCTTTTTCTTTCAAAAGTTAACATATTTAGTAGTTAAAATGTTTTTGTTTTTGTGGGTTTTGTTTTTCCATTAAATACTGTAAGTCTGAGTCCTGACTCAAATGTTTATTAGTTTTGAAACATTATTAACTAGTCCGCAGCTTAGTTTCTTCCTCTGTAAACTGAATATGAATGCAGTGTCTACTTATGGGGCTATTGTTGGAATCAAGTGAAATAATTCTTATAAATCACAGTGCCTGAAGCACAGTAATTGATGCTAGAATTTGCCAATATTTTTCTTTGAAACTGGTGATCAGCGCATTATTAATTCTTAGGAAAATCTATTCTGATAGTTGCTGGAATGAAAATGTTGTGATCTTTGGGCCCTTTTCCTACTTTTTTTTTTTTTTGCACTCCTACCAACCTCTCTGGATATTTACATGTACTTACACCTACACTCTTTCTGCATCCCTGGGGCAAAGGCTGTTCTCAAAGGTCCAAGCCTCATCCACTGTGCGGGGGAGGGCTGGGATCCCTACTATGTTAGAACCTTCATGTCATCTGGCCAGGCTCAAGTGAACTCTGATGTTGCCCTTGGCTCTCTGATTAATTTCTGCTTGTTGGAGAAACATCTTGAGAAATTTAGCATCATATCTCTTACAGATAAGAATTCTTGATTGATTAAAAATGGTACTGTGGTACACAATGTGGATAAGTTTTAAATAATGAAAGGGGGCAAATATGTTTGCCCAACCAATGGTTATAATGAGATACCTAACAAATGCAATTAAGGCTGTTATGCTTATTGATTTTGTTATAACTTGATAGAAGGGAAAATAAAAGCTGAAAGAAAGGGTGACACTGTTTAAAGGGCTTTCTATTCAGCAACAAGGAGACTTCTGTTCTACCTGGAGGCCTACAAAGCAAACAGCCAAACCTCAGGCAAGTCACTGAACAGTAGCCAACCATGGATTTCTATTTCTTCATCAGTAAATTTCCTTTTTGCTTTAAGGTTGATATCTATTCATCATTCCTACTCTGGTTGACCCAGTAATTTCACAGTGGATCAAAGTATATCCGAATCACTAAAAAGTGGCACTTATAGTGCTCACTAGTTGATCAGAACCATGAACAGTACTTGGTAGGAGGGTATGTTGAGGTGGAAAGGCTGGGCTAAAGGAAAGAAGGGGAGGCATAAAGAAGAAGGACAAGGGGAGCGCATTTTGTGAAACCAGCTCAGATCTAGTTATTCTGCCTCAAAAATCTCTCCTGGGCGTCTCTAGCACTTGTATCAAATTTTTAATATTACTATTTTAGAGTACGTTCAGGAGAAAAATATAATGGGATAGAGACATGTTGAAATAAAATATTTTTAGTAATTGCTTTCAGGTGAAACCATCTCCATGTGGACTTCAGAAAATAGAAGTTTCCATGATTAAATTTTGGGCAGGCATCTTTTAATGTGTAGAGAATGAATGGCTGAAAGCAAATCTGTCTCCAAAGGATGGAAGGCCCAGTCACTCAGGTGTTCTGCACTAGCAATAAGCATTTGCCATTGAAAAAGGTGGTTGTCCTTTAACTTTATGCCTCTTTATAATGCTCTAATGTAATTAGTTATGCACAGGATATACACTACATTGTTTTACTCTGCCCATGTGCCCATCTTCTCTTCTGATACTTGGGTTTTAATATTTCAGCAAAAAGAATGAAAGACTTTTCTAGCAACATCTGTATTCAAAGGCATAACAACAGAAAAAGCTTAATCACAATACCTTGTGTCTCCCACGGGTAAGTCCTGCCTTTTGAGGGAAGTGAGCAGGTAATAAAGGAAGTGAGGTACATTGAGAGAATCTGCAACTTCACTTGGCCTTGGCTCCAGAACATGCAAGGGCAGGATGGTTATGAAAGCTAAATGCCTCTCTCTGAATAATAGTAGGCAGAGACAGAGAAATAAAGCCATGTGCTTTTAAATACATATTCTGTTGAAGATGAGGACCACTGGCTGGATGGATGTCTTACTAAACTGAAAGGCATGATGGTCAGGTTCCTATTATCCCTCGTACTACCTGTGAATGCTGGGGCGGGTCTCCTTCTCTGGGCTAACTTCTCTGGAGGTTGCTCTAGAAGAGATGATCCCAAAGGTCCTTCCCAACCCTAAACTGCTACTGATCACCAGATCTGATTTTTTTAAAGTGTAATGGCATTTGCTTAATCAACATCACAGTTGCACTAACATTATTACTGCACCCCAGGAAAGCGTCACTGGGTATTTAAGCAGCTGGCTGTCTTCCTAGGAAACATTCACCTTCAGCCTTTCAGAGACTTCCTGCTTGTACGCGGGGGCCCAGCTACACCAGTGACATGGAAGTGGCCTGAGTTAGGCAGCAGTGGTGATCAAAGTTTGCAAGAAGAAAAATCCTCTCGGTTAAGAGGAAATGGTTTTCATTTTCCTGCCTGCAGAAAAGCCAAGGTTTTCAAGTTTAAAGAGTGCACGCGAGTCATTTTAAGTCTGTCTCTGGGTATTTCACCCTGAAAGTCCCCTTATAGAAACTCCGCGGGGAGACTAAATATAGCAACAGCAAACTCCCCCCAGCAAGCAGCCCCGGCCTTCGTGCAGCCCTAGGATTGGAGAGCTTGCTCCAGGGCGCTGTCTGCATCTGCCTGGAATAGCAGGGCACGGAGCAATTTCTCTTGCACCTCCACAGCGCGTGGGTGTGAAGTGTAAGAGGGGAAAGGGAGAGTGACTCTGGGTACTGCTGCTCCGGCACAGTCACGTGGCACCTCTCTGCCCGTGGCGTAGAGCGGCTCTGAGGCTAGTGCCTGCGGTGGAGAGGCTTGGGGGAAAGGAGGGAAGGAAAAGGCAGGGTCCTGCCAGTGGCCAGGAGCTGGCATGAGGGTTTCACGAAAATAATGGCAATGACAATAAAAAGTGAAAATAAAGCATTTCAGTTGAAGTACTGCCACAGGCAGGAAGGAGCTGTCGCGAGCGTGGGTATGTGTACCCGAGAGAGTTGGGAGAGTGTCTGTCTCCGAGGGGCAGAGGAAGCTGAAATAACACTTTTGCCTTAGCGCTGCCTGGGGGTTAGGCTTCCGACAGGAGTAAGACACTCGGAATCACTACCGCGTGCTATGCAACCACATGCAAAGATGTGCTATGGTTTTGTAATAGAGGCTTAGTTCTTCCTTCAGTTTAACTTGGTGATCATTTTTGTTCATTCTGGACGTAAGGGGTGGGAAGGAGAGGTCTGATCTGTTAGAAGTTCCCAAGCCTGGCTTCCTTTCAATTTCCCCACGCTGACTGATGTGTAACTACTTATACTTTATAATACGCTGTTGCTGAAGGCCAAAGTCCGCAGTGGCACTGTCGTCTCCCTCGAAGCCAAGGACGCTGGGCTTTGGGCTGCCCCAGTGTCAGAGGTGGAGGGAGACCCAAGCAAGTCTTAAAACGTCTCTCACCGTGTAAACTACAGCAGGCGAGGGTGGGTGGGACTCCAGAAACCCGTGTCCTGGGCTTTCCACCTTCCAGGATTTTTTCTCCCAGACCCTGGGGCCTCCGCTGCCACTGCCGAGACTTCGCAATTTTATGACTTTCTCGAAGTTAAATGGAAATTTCTTGACTGAAGGAACCGGGTTTGTTCACCCATGCTTCTCGCCACTGTCAGACAGAGCTCCCAGGCAAGTCGTTAACCAGCGGAGGGGCCACTTTGGAGTTTTCTGTGCCCTCCCCATATTCCACCCCCGGGCTGGGAAGGATGGCCAAGTCACTCGCGGGCTTGCTGTCTGATGCTGGGATGGAAAGTCACAGCCTGCAAGCTGGAGCGAGCCTCAGGGAGATGCCTGGTCCCCGCCTCTCCGTGTCGGCAGTCCTGTCCTGCGGGGTTGCTCACTGAACTGCCTGGGACTCGAGAGCAGTGCGGGACACCAGAGCCACTGTCCGGAGCGTCGCCCCGCGCTCCGGCTGGGGACTAGTCAGTCCCGAAGGGCAGGGCAGGGCAGGGCAGGGCAGGGCCGTTCCCGCTCACACACCCGTTGCAGAAGGATGGCAGGACCTAGCGCTGCAGAGTAGCGGCGGGAGAGAGCAGCGATCTGCATCTTCAGTTTCTCCTCTGGGCACGAGGCTGACTTAACCTTCCGGACAGCTCCAAAGCCCCAGAGAACCGAACCAAACTCGCGCCTCGGAGAGGGGGCTTTCGAGCCCCGTCCTCTCCGGGGGAGGGAGGCAGAGGCAGCCTGGGCGTGGAAAGTGGAGGGAAAGAAGAAAGGGGGAGCCTGGGGCTGGTGTGCGCGCGTGGGAGCGCGCCTCGGAGCGCCCCGCACTACCCGCTCCCGCCCTGGGGGGCACTTCGTTAGGAGGGAGTGGTAGCCACGGGAATCAGAGGGAGCGAGAGAAACCCTGTCAAAGTGACGCCCCAAACAGGTCCGGATCGCGAATTCGAAGCTACAGGCTGCTGCTAGAAATTGGGACTCCTCTTCCTCCTCCGCACCCCCCACCTCCGCCCCGGCCCCGAAGCCCCAGCGGTTTGCGAGCTGCCGGCTTTCCCGCCCCCGACTCGGAGGTCGGGAGCAGGAGGCCCCGGGTCAGCCGCGGCTTCCTCCCAGAAACCCGCCAGCGCGCTTGCGGCCGCTGCCCCCGGCGCAGGGACAGGCGCCCCCCTCGCGGTGCCCGTGGTGATGCCATGCCCCGCCACCACGCGGGAGGAGAGGAGGGCGGCGCCGCCGGGCTCTGGGTGAAGAGCGGCGCGGCGGCGGCGGCGGGCGGGGGGCGCCCCGGCGGCGGCATGAAGGATGTGGAGTCCGGCCGGGGCAGGGTGCTGCTGAACTCGGCGGCCGCCAGGGGCGACGGCCTGCTGCTGCTGGGCACCCGCGCGGCCGCGCTCGGCGGCGGCGGCGGCGGCCTGAGGGAGAGCCGCCGGGGCAAGCAGGGGGCCCGGATGAGCCTGCTGGGGAAACCGCTCTCGTACACCAGTAGCCAGAGCTGCCGGCGCAACGTCAAGTACCGGAGGGTGCAGAACTACCTGTACAACGTGCTGGAGAGGCCCCGCGGCTGGGCGTTCATTTACCACGCGTTCGTGTGAGTACCCGAGCCCCCCGCGCGCCCCCTGCCACGCCCGCCTCGGGTGGCCCATGTGCCTGGCCCCCTGGGACGCGCTCTCCGCGCCCACGCCCTGGCCTGGCGTGCGCGCGCGTCCAGACACACACGCGCGCGCATAGACACACACACACACACACACACACACACACACACACGCACACACGCACTGCGCGCACACGTGGTGGCTTTTATTTCTTTGCACGTGTTTATGATCTTCCTCCTAGAGCCTTCCACCTCTTCCACCTTTACAAACTGAACCTTCTATCCGAGCACACCCAATAAGCTGTCTGGCAGTTTTAGGCACCAGAGACTGGAGCCAGGCAGACCTGGGACCTAAGCTGCTCGGATAATTGAGAGCGAATAGGTTCCGAGATACGTAAACTTCAACCGAGCGGGGCGCCTGAGAGCTGGGAAATGTACAGGGAGGACGCGTGCCCGTAAGAGGCTTGTGAGACTTTACTGGCGAGGTCAGGAGGTGATGGCGGGGTTTGACGGGTGGAGAGAGTCCTGGGGGCGGAGCTGGGGAAGCTACCGCTCGGTGGGGAGAGCAGCTCGGTTTTAAGTGAGCCCGGAAACATGCCTCGCCACCACCAACGGAAAGTCTTTCCGTGCATGTGGTCCTTCCTGCCACAGAGGTGGCCAAGGTCTGAAAGAGGCGAGCAGGCCGGGGCAAGGTGATGCTCCCAAGAAAGTGGTAGAGGACAGGGGGGAGTCCGGGGCGCTTGGGCTCGGACCAAAGTGCAATAGTAGATGCGCCACCCAGGACAGGGGTCAGACAGTGGGTTAAGTGGATATTTGTGGCGCTGAGTCCAAGACAGAGAGAGAGAGAGAGAGAGAGAGAGAGAGAGAGAGAGAGAGTGAGTGTGTGTGTTAAGTAAGCCTTCGCCATCTAGCAGAGAATGCTTAATGAGAAAATGATTGGAAGCAAATGTTTATTTTTCCCTTAGGCATTTAAAACCTTTCAGTGGCTTTAAAGTTTACTACTGTTTTTCCCACAAGGTCCATTCATTCAGTCTCCTGTTCCAGCTAGGTTTATCTGGACATTTAAAAGTAGTTTTTATGCTATTACAACCTTTTAATTCTTCCTTTTTCCCTCTTTTTCTGTCTCTACTTTTTTTTAGTTCTTTTTTGTTTTCTGCTTTTTTATGTTAAAATAAAATATAAAGATGTCAGCCTTAGAGAACCAGTAGAGAAAGCCGCGGTCCCCGATACTTCCCTGTTTCTCAGTACATCGGTTTTGAACACATGAAGCAGGTTTCTTTTAGAAATGAGGCATGCCGTCCAGATATAGCTCTCACCTGGGACAGAGGATCGGCACCAAGAGGAGTTTTTTTTTAAATAACAGGGAAGAAGGGGCTGGTTTTGTAAATCTGTAAACCTGGAATTTGACCACGTAAGAGTCAGGAAATTGGTGGAGTCTACAATCTGTGGGGCTCTGGTGTCTGGAAAATTTTACAGTCTCAGATTGATGTGAACATGTAGCATTAGGTGGAATATTCCAGCCAACTTTCCATCTTACAGTATACACAAGAAGACCGTTGTGTTGCATTATTATTACATCAAAAGGTGTAACTTTTATTATTCATTTATGTAAGTAATATCACATTGATTTAGGTGTATTTACTGTAACAAATGATAGACATAGTGAAACACTACTGACACTTTTCATGTTCAACCCCTCCAAGTTGATATATAATTAATCCTATTAACTAGTGAGCCTGATAAATTATTTTGACCTGACAGGATCTACTAAAACATTGAGCCATAATGAGCCATAATGATCTGTGCTCAATATGGTAGCAAAAGATATACTGTGTGGATAGTGACTTCTTTTACAAAAAGAGGATGTTCAAAATATCCACAGTTTTGAGTTTACATCATGATGCCATTTATGGCCTTTAATTTTTGGTAAATTATGTTTGTATGTTCAGAGTGGGTTAGAGACAAACTTTGTTGGTACTCATACTTTACATGTCCTATGTGATGCCTTTGAACCTGAACGAACCCTTTTTGTAATATAACATTTGTCCCCAATATGTTCGTGTTTAAGAAGTTTTTATGGCCTTACAGAATTTCTAAATTTTGACAAATGATTTTTGCAGGAGATTCAAGTTTGAATAATTTTCTGTTCACTAGGCTTAATCTACCTATCAATGTCTTTAGTGGTAGATATGAAATAAATTAGGTAATGTTCCGTGTGATGTGCTACTGTAAAGGTCGGTATTACACATTTCTGGAGTCTGCAACTGCAATGCTTGAGCAATTAAATAGTAGTGCTAGGTCCACAGTAACACGGAGAGGGACTGAATAGTATTTTCTGGGAGGATTGTGCAACTGTAGGGGACCCTGGGGGACAAGCCATCTTTGGAAATTGCTGTTTATAATTTTGAATAATGAGCTTTAGAATAGCTGTGCTTTATATATTAAATTAATAAAGGAAAGTTACTTTGAGCTGTGAGTCTAACAAGACTATTAATAATAAAGGAAATTATAAGAAAGCTATTTCTAGAGGGGTGTAATTAACTAATTCTCTGCCAGCCTGGGAATCCCCAAATCTTACTTTAATAACAGTTTTTGTAACACATTAAGGTTCTTGCCAAGAACAAGTGCACTGTGATTAATGAGATACTTCAGGGATGAATTTACTTGGTAGACCCAAGTTTTCACTGCCAAGAAGCAAGAAAAGTATGTTTAAAGTTCTGTTTTAGGTAGAAAATTATTTGTTACACATGCAAAAATCATTATTATAATGGTATTATTTAACGATGTAAGATGGTGTCGAGTGTGTATATCCTAGCCTAGTGATGAGATGGATGGAAAGAACAAGAGATAACCTACTTCAAATACTTGCTTCCAATTTATAAATTGGTGTAGATTACAGAGTCCACTCCCCTGTCATTCTTTAAGATTTACCAGACAGCTATGTTTTCTGGTTTCCTATTTCCTGTTTTCAGCTATTCTTCAGTTTAATAGACGAGCTATTCAAATATGAGGTGAGAGATTTCTTTGAATCTTATTCTTCTATTTTTAATCACTCCTCTTTTGTAGGGAAAGTTTAGAAGAAGAATAGTGGTAGCAGAGGGACACATGATGGGGCTCCACATATAAATTTGCATCAATGCAGCGAATGTGTTTCTGAGAAATAGCATGGGAAACAGTGTGGCAGACGAATGACAGTGTGTCTTTGCCTAGTATAATGCCATGGATTGGAATGTACAGATATTTTAAACTAGATGAAATAATCCAGTCACCCAAGCTGGGAACCTGGAACTCACCCTTAATGCCTTCATCTTTCTCAGATTGCTCCCAATGACCATTCAAATGACCATTAAATTCTGTGTATTCACTGTCTAAATATTTTTCAAATCTATTCCCTTTTCTCCTTTGGAACCTCTACTAGCTCTCTCTGCTTCTCAATGTCTCTCCATTGGATTATGTATAATATTCTTTTATTGAATCATCTAGCGTTTGTTCTCAGCCTCCTAGCTCTGTTTTAAGACAATAATGTTCTCTCTAAAATGCAAATCTCATCATATCATTTCCTCAATTAAAATATTTCCATGACCCTTCACTGTCTATTTATTTATTCATTCATTTATCCATCTGCAAACATGTGAGTGTCTACTATGTGCTAATTCCCAATTCATAAGGCAAAAGCCTCCATTCTCAAGAAGGGAAAAGACTACACAAGGGAATGATTCCAAGCTCATGAACAAGTATGAAGTGATGTTATCTGTATCATTACAGAGAAAAGCACAAAGTCTCAGGGGAAAACAGAGGGAAGTAGAGATGAAGGCAGAAAGGTAAGCATAAGCTTCAAAGAGGAAGTAAGGAGTGAACTGTTTTGACAAACGAGTAGTTAATTTTTAGGTGCAAAAAGCAAGGGAAAATGAGCAATCCTGGTTGAGAAAACAGCTTGGGCAAAAATGTGGAATTGTGAATCAACACAGTAATTCTGTTAAGTATTTGCAGGATGAAGATAACTATAAGAAAAAAAGAGTAGAGAAAAGGCACACATACCTGAACTTGTATGACCTCAGATGCTGGCCATGGAATCTGGTCTTTATCCTGTAGGCAATAGTGATTATTGAATGGTCATCATCAAAAGAATGGTATAATCAAATACAAACTTTGGAAAGATCTGCCGTTTGGTAAATTGATTGAAGGGTGCAAAATGGATTCAGTATGGCTTGGAAAATGATGATAGCAGTTGTTCAAGTTTTCCATACATTCTTGTATTATTTTATCCATAAACTCATTATATAAATGTCTGTTGACTATCTATTGTGTGTCATGGACTATTCTAAAAAGATTAGAGATGATTATCTAAGGAGCTCAGGCAGTGGGAACAAGAAAGAGTTTAATTAGAGAAATGTCATGGAGGTAGAACTGGCAGCAGTCTCATGTGGAATGTGAGAAGGCTGATTCTGACTTGGGTGATGTGGGATGGAGGCACCCTAAACCAGTACAATATGGGACAAAAGACAAAGGTCACATTTTTGGGGGCAATATAATGAAATTAGATTCAGACTTGTTGAGTTTCAGATGTTTCGAAAACATTTAGGTGGAGATTTTAAGTGGTAAAAACACAACTGTGAACCAAGTACATTTGGTCTTTTTCAACTGGAGGCATTTTTTGAAAGTTAGAGAGCACTCAATAAAATATTTTCAATGAATTAATGCATTTACAAATCTAAAGCTTAATCTATATGTATAGATTAGATATTCATATCTAATATGAATTGGAAGCCTCTACCAATTACGGTGAAGTGATGTGTGGTAGAATGAATGAGATAGCCCAGAGATGAAGAGTGTTGTGGATATTGTGGAGGATAGAGTCTGGGGAATACCAGCATGAACCGGTGAATGGAAGACTAAGTTCCGCAGAAAAACTCCACACAACAACCGGAAAACCAAGGAATAATCTAGGAGACCTTATTTTCACAAAAGCAAAGGAAGGAGTTTGTAATCTTCAGCCT